AAAAGGATAAATAGAGGTAAGGAAATTTGCATGTGTATATATATAATTAAATATCTAAGAACTTAGGGCATTTTCACAATGAAGTCTTGAATTTTGATTTTTATTGGAAATGAGNAAAAAAAAAAAAAAAAAAACCTAGCTAATAGACAAGGAAAGAGAAAGGAGCCAAGGGATTAATGATCAGACTGGGGTTGCTTTTAATACTTAAGGGTGCTGAGGGCAAGAAAGGGCTTCTATGGTGGCACTAGTGGTAAAGAACCTGCTTGCCAATGTAGGAGAAGCATCAGATAGGTGTTTGATCTCTGGGTCAAGAAAATCCCCCAGAGGAGGGCATGGCCACCCACTCCAATATTCTTGCCTGGAGAATCCCATGGACAGAGGAGCCTGGTGGGCTCTGGCCCAGAGGGTTGCATAGAATTGCACACCACTGAAGCTTCTTAGCTGGCATGCAGGACAAGAAAACTAATGAAAGGCCCTTATATCACTTACCTGGAGAAATGAAATACTTCCTGATACCTGTCAGTCATCAGCAATTGCAGTCACCAGTGATGTTGAGCTGGTGAGTCCTGAGGTAACTCAGGAAGGAAAGAATACCTGCCTTCTAGCAGCCATCAGACTGATAGAAGTTCCCACAGCAAAGAACCAGGTTCAATGAGAAGGCAGAAGGGATGGGAGGAAAATGTGTAGTTTCCAATGGAAGAAATGGGTGAAGAAGAATAAGGAGGCTTACGACTGGCTAGTTTAAAACATTTCAGTGGAGTCTGGAGTGTGAGGGCTGTCTTCAACTGTCTGGTAGCTGGATCTGGGGTGGTTTGGGAAGAGGAATACTGGCCAGGAGTGTTGAAGCCTGAGGAAGGAGGTCAGGGTGAGGGTATGGTTCTGAATGTGTTGGTTTACGAAAAACTCATCCTTCCTGGTGAGTCATTTGCGATCTATCTCAAGGCACTGGCTAGCCCAGAGAGGGGCAATCTCCCCCAGGATCAGTAAAGCCCTAGATATCAAAACATCAGAATAAAAAGACATACTTTATGCAAAGGGACAGGAAACAGGAGAAAATCCAAGAGGAGCTGATCTCCTGGAAGCCAAAGGTGAGATTTTTTTTCAAGAGGGAGAGATCAACATGGGTAGATGTCACTTAGAATCAGAAATGATATGGTTTAATAGAGTTGTATTAACTTTAGCAACAGGCAAGTGACTTTGGTGCAATATCAGTATGTGTAGCATCACAGAAAGTAATTCTGACTTCTGAGGGCTGCAAAATGCAGAAGTAGAAACAGTGAGCATAGGCTATGTCAACTTTGGAACTCTAGCTTTGTGAGTAAGATGGGCTATGTACAGGAAAGCATTTTTAAAAGTTTTTTTTTCCATTAAATTTTAAATCTAATTTTTAGAAGACAAAGATATAAGCTATATAAGAGCTTAAGGGAAGGAAGAGATGTGTGAAGAGTGAGAGGTTAAATACACATAAAGGAAATAATTGATTTGCCCCTGAAAATGTGGGAAGCAAGGAATGAACAGCACGGGCAGAAAAAATGAACTTTCTGCAGCTCAAGGGGAAAATGATTCTTTCTAACAGGAAATGAGAAAGAAAAGATCAAGTGAAGCTTCCTATAAATTTGTAACTTCGGGGATAGGAGGTTGAGGGAGATGTCTCCAGATAATTTCTATTTTATTTTTACATGTTTGTCCCCCCTAAGAGGAAGATGAGCTCATCTGATAAAAATAAGGTGGGAGGAAAACTAGATCTGAAATTCAGGGAGAATTCAGAAAGTTGGAAATAGCTGTGTGGAGATTGAGAAGAAAACCAATTAGAGAAATAAATCCTAAAAAGGATGAGGTGAGAGATTGTCTAAAATGTGCAGTGAATATATTTAGAAGTTTATTGTAAGCTTCTTCCACCCCTTAAGTGATAAAAATAAAAGTACGGAGAACATGTGTTTCTAAAGGAGGCAGTGCCTAAGAGTTTCTCATGAGAACTTTGTGGAAAAGATTATATAGTTCTACAGAAGTGGGTGGGGTATGAACAATTTAGGGTAAAGGTGAAAGACTTTTCCCCAAGATAAATCTTAAAAACTGACAAAATATGTAACTGTTCATATTAAACAGTAGAAGTCAGAAGCTTCTTTGAAACTGCACATAATATATCTACATTTGAGATTACAATTATATGAGTTGTTTTTTATGTATTAAAACCAAATTGGCAATAGTCAAATTTAACAAGTTTGATGCATTTTTTTCACCCAGAATTGATCAAAGGGTTATCTTCTGTTTGCCAAAAACCTTAACAATTTACATAAAATTTAATGGACATCAGTTACTATCATTCTCCTAAGTCTTTCCTTTCCCAGATGTGGAACTTAAGAAAGGAATGGGAGCTTAGTGCTCTAAAGATAGGGTGCACATGAATGCACGGTGCTTGAAAACAGCTGCTCTAACAACTCTCACATCCATACATGACTACTGGAAAAACCATAGCTTTGACCAGATGTACCTTTGTTGGCAAAGTAATGTCTCTGCTTTTTAATATGCTATTTAGGTTTAACATGCTGTCCAGGTTGTAAACCCTCACTCTTTCCAAAGTAGAGTTTAGAGATTTCTAGCTGTTGCAAATTGAATTCAGAAAACATTAAGGCACTATCTATGTTCTTTGAAGATAGAAGACAAAGTATAGAAAGCTAGCCATCACATTTTGGAGACTGAGTATATATAACACACAATGACTACTACAATTTGGCCTTAAAACATAATGATTCAAACATGAAATCTGAAGTCAGATACCTTTATTGATAGCTGCTATCACCCTCTTTAAACCATGTAACTTGTGATAAACGATTTATACTTTGTAAGTCTCAGACACTTTTCCAGAAAATAAATCATATAATATTTACTTCACCATGTGTGTGTGCATGCCTGCTAATTCACTTCTGTCATGTCTGACTCCTTGAAACCCCATGGACTGCAGCCCACCAGGCTCCTCTGTCCATGGAATTGCACAGACAAGAATACTGGAGTGGGTTGCTATGCCCTCCTCCAGGGAATCTTCCCAGCCCAGGAATCAAACCTACATCTCTTAGGTTTCCAGTATTGTCAGGCTTGTTCTTTANCTGTAGCCCACCAGGCTCCTCTGTCCATGGAATTGCACAGACAAGAATACTGGAGTGGGTTGCTATGCCCTCCTCCAGGGAATCTTCCCAGCCCAGGAATCAAATCTACATCTCTTAGGTCTCCAGCATTGTCAGGCTTGTTCTTTACCACTAGCGCCACCTGGGAAGCCCCTGCTTCACCATGTGGAACACCAATAAAATAAACAAATGTCCATGTCTTATCCTGGTGCCATCACATATTAATCATTAACAAACAGAAAAATTATGTAAAAGTATTAAACTAGACCAGAAGTAGTGAGGTAGAGAAAGAAATGGTGCCTTCTTCCCGAAGTTGCAAATTTGGCTATGGCTTACTACAAAATTTGAGTCATATCCAACCAGAAAAAAGTCCAGAAAAAAAAAAAAATCAGTTTTAAAGTTGATGTCAGCCTCACCACATTGAAAAATAAATTCCCTGATGCAGGTCATCCCTCTGAGAGAGGCTTTCCATTTTGGGAGCCAAATATATTAGATTTTGCTATCAGAAAATCCCCCACCTCCAAACATCTAAATTACATCAGCTATAATCTGATTTCTCTGAATTTACTTGAATGGCAACAAAAAAAATGTTTCCATCTTCAGTGCTTATTTCACTACCATGACAAATACCAATGGAGGGGGGAAAATATAGTCTCTTGGATTTAGCCTCAAACTTTATAACACATCTCTTGGGGTTCATGACCCAGTATGAAACTAGTGAATATAATTTCATCCACAAATGCATCCATCACCTCAACAAAACATCCCTTCCAAAAGAAGCTGCCTGGGTTAAAAACACAAAATAAAAAGGAATATTTAGCTTCAACTATTCCCTTCTAAATAGCCTTGAATATATCTCAAGCAACAAAGTGCTCTCAATTATAATAGCACTTATGTAGAAATTAAGTAGCAATTTGCAATAAGCCAAGAATGGCTCAATAATATTAATCTATCTTCTTAGTTTTAAGGGCACATGTAACCTTTCTGGGTGTAATGGGTCCAGATAAGAAGCATGCATAATTAGCACTTAATAAACATCTATGTGGGCTTCCCAGGTAGCACACTGGTAAGGAATCTTCCTGCCAATGCAGGAGACAAAAGAGGCATGGGTTTGATAACTGGGTTGAAAAGATCCCTTGGAAGATGAAATGGAAACCCACTCCAACATTCTGGCCTGGAAAATCCCATGGACACAGGAGCCATGGGGTTGCAAAGAGTCAGATATGTCTGAGAACATACACACACACACACACACACACACACACACACACACACACAAGCATGTGGTTCTAAAACTTACTCTCAAAACCATTTGCTTCAAGTAATCATTGTTCTTGTTACTGTTCAGGAAATGCACTTAAGGTTATACCCATCATTAAAAAATCTAGGTCTTACTCTGACCCTAAATCTTAGGATTTTGCTTCATCATGATACCTCTTAAATGAGAGAAATTAGGAAACTTCTGTCTCAATATATCTCTGATGGGATTTATAAAATTTCTATGAGGACTACAAAAAAAAAACAAGACACCTCAGAAAGATATAGAACTCAATTCTACATTCAACCTATACTTTCATGTAATATTTTGTCATCTAGCAGAATGAAGGACAAATCAGAAAATATTGAAACTAATAATACAAAAATGACTATATTTATGTGGAGGCAGAAATTGTGTGTGTTATTTAATAAAATTAGTAAAGCACATAAATATGTGGTGATAACTTCATTTTTTGGAAAAATGCCATGTATTTGTGGCTGTAAGTTGCTCAAAAACAGTGACTATTAGAGAAATGTAAATCAGAATTACATTTAGGTACTACCTCACATGAGTCAGAATGGCCATCATTAAAAAGTCTGCAAATAGGGGTTCACCAATACTGAAGAGAGAACGTGAGTCAAGGAGCGGTTTGGCTGAGGGTTTAGGGGTTTCGTCTCTCCTGCCACTCCCTGAGGCCGGCGGCTTTCGTCCCCGCCATGGCTGAGCTAATCCAGAAGAAGCTGCAGGGAGAAGTGGAGAAATATCAACAGCTGCAGAAGGACTTGAGTAAATCCATGTCAGGGAGGCAGAAACTAGAGGCACAACTAACAGAGAATAATATTGTGAAGGAGGAACTGGCCCTGCTGGATGGGTCCAACGTGGTGTTTAAACTTCTGGGGCCGGTGCTGGTCAAACAGGAGCTGGGGGAAGCTCGGGCCACAGTGGGGAAAAGGCTGGACTACATCACAGCTGAGATTAAGCGATATGAATCCCAGCAATAGAAGTACCATAAATGTCCATCAACAGAGGGATTAATAAAGAAAATGTGGTACATATATAGAATAAAATGTTACTCAGTTATGAAAAAGAACAAAATTATGCCATTTGTAGCAACTTGGATGAAACTAGAGATTATCATTTAAGTGAAGTAAGTCAAAAAAGAGAAAGACAAATATATTGTATCACTTAAATATGGAATCTAAAGTGTTTAAGTGTTAGTTGCTCAGTCATGTCTGACTCTCTGTTACCCCATAGACTAGCTATTAAGCCCCTCTATCTTCAGGCAAGAATCTTCAGGCAAGAATGCTCTAGTAATTTGCCATTTCTTTCTCCAGGGGATCTTCCTAACCCAGGGATCAAATCTGGGTCTCTAGTATTGCAGGCAGATTTTTCACCGTTTGAGACACCAGGGAAGCCCATGGACTCTAAAGTATGACACAGATGAACTTATGTACAAAACAGACTCACAAACACAGAGAACAGCTTTGTGGTTGTCAAGCAAGAGGATCCTACTGGATTGCACTGGGAACTATGCTTAATATCCCATGATAAACTGTAATGAAAAGGGTATGAAAAAGAATATATAAATGTATAACTGAATCAGTTTGCTGTACAGCAGAACATAATATATTTCAGAAATGGTTAATGTATTTTCACAATGGACATATAAGCTCCATTATGATAGGTTATGAGAACCTTTCTCTCCTATATAAAATATTAATTTTAATTCCCAGAGGACTCTATGAAATGTCTAATATTATCATTTTCATTTCATAATTTTAAAAATGAGAACTCAGTTTAAGTAACTTCCCCAAATTCACAAAATTAGTGAGTGACAGTCCTAGAATTTTAACCTCAGTCAAAAACTTAGCTATTTTCCACAGTCTTTCGCTTGACCCAAAAGAATTACACATATTCCTTTGTCAGATTCCCTTGAGTTTCCAATTTTTGGCCAGTTTTTGTTACATGTAGTTAGGTATACTTATGATTTGCCAAAATAGGAAGGGTTGGTCCACCTCAAACAAGCCTTGTCTTAAGTTAGAGTTATAAATGTATAAAATTGTTTTAACTCTGTTGTTAGGCAGGTATTAAGCAAAAATGGTAAAAAAACAAAAATGAAACAAAAAACCCTCCAAAATCCAGATTTTTCTGATAAGAAGGGAAATCATATTATTGGATTCAAAGTGAAATTTAAATGGATATTTTGGCCTTTTGATCATAGATTTCAGTGGTTACAAGGAAAGAAGATAAGGCAGGTATGCACCGGTGCTTTAAGAAATGGATCAGACAGATCATAGGAGAAGAGGCCACTGAAAACAATGGTAATTCACTTATTTCAAATAAGTGAGGAAAAGATAAATTACTTGTTAAAGAGCACTGGAACAATTGAAAAGTTGTTTGGAAAATATCACACTGTTTTCAATTTTGTCCCCAAATAATTAGGCTTTCCTGTTGCCTCAAGTGGTAAAGAATTTGCCTGCAATGCTGGACACCTGGGTTCAATCCTTGGGGTGGGAAGATCCCATGGAGAAAGAAATGACAACCAAAATATTAGACTGACAAATGATTAAACACAGGAAAACAAGAAATATTTGAAGTACAAGAGGAAAGAAAGAGAAAATTATTATTATTTTGTCAGAATACAGAACACTTCTAATATATAAAATAAAGTAAACTGTTTCACAAAAAACCCTCTACATTAAAAGCTGATCATTTCTGGAAGAAAGAAATCATAAAGGTAAAAGTGAAAGTGAAGTCGCTCAGTCATGTCCAGCTCTTTGCAACCCCATAGACAGTAGCCTGTACCAGGCTTCTCCATCCATGGGATTTTCTAGACAAGAGTACTGAGTGTATTGCATTTCCATCTCCAGGGGATCATCCCAACCCAGGGATCAAACCCAGGTCTCCCACATTGCAGGCAGATGCTCTACCGTCTGAGCCACAGTTTGCCTCTGTGGACTGTACAGGGAATGGAATTCTCAGGCCCAAATACTGGAGTGGGTAGCTGTTCTCTTCTCCAGGGGAGCTTCCCAAACCACGGATCAAACCCAAGTCTATAATAAACTGGTACAAATCTTTGCAACTAATATCACAAAAAGAGTTACAGTTTATCTAGCAGATAAAGAGCATAAGAACAAAAATCTTAATGGCATATGGTGGTTTAGTCCCTAAGTCGAGTCCGACTCTTGTGACCCCATGAACTGTAGCCTGCCAGGGTCCTCTGTCCATGGGACTCTCCAGGCAGGAACCCTGGAGTGGGTTGCCATTTCCTTCTCCAGAATGGCATATAGGAAAAGCAAATGAACTGGGTGTTAGCAGTAAAGATAATACAAATGGAATGGCTTTTAAACATATGTAAAGTTTCTCAAATATTCTTCAAATGACATCTATAATGTGGTGCTATTATTTCATTTCTACCATAGCAAACATTGGAAATAGTTTGATAATGCATTTTGTTGTTGAGGGGAGAAGTGAATGTAAAGTGGGATAGGGGAGGATAATTTCTTTGCATTGCTAACAGTAATGTAAATTGGCATGATCACTGTGGTAATACATACCATAAATTGTGGGATACAACGGAAATTGTATTTAGAAGAAAATACATAGATAATATTGGAGTAGGAAATGGCAGGAGAAGGCAATGGCAACCCACTCCAGTACTCTTGCCTGGAAAACTCCATGGACGGAGCAGCCTGGTGGGCTGCTGTCCATGGGGTCACTTAGAGTTGGACCCAACTGAGCGACTTCACTTTCACTTTTCATTCTCACGCATTGGAGAAGGAAATGGCAACCCACTCCAGTGTTCTTGCCTGGAGAATCCCAGGGACGGGGGAGCCTGGTGGGCTGCCATCTATGGGGTCGCACAGAGTCGGACACGGCTGAAGCGACTTAGCAGCAGCAGGAAATGGCAAATCACTCCAGTATTCTTGCCTGGAGAATTCCGTGGACAGAAGAGCCTGGAGGGCTACAGTCCATGGGTCCATGGAGTCACAAAGAGTTGGTCACGAGTCAGTGACTGAGCACACACGCACATAGGTAACATACAGCATTTAAAAATGAAAAACAAAAATAAGTTGAAAAGCGAGAGCTAATATCTATCTCAAAGAGTCAGGAAAAAAATAATTTAAGAGATTATACAAAAGAGAAAAGATAAGGTAAAGATTAATAAAATAGTAATTAAGCTCATAAAAAAAAGAACAAAACAGCCACATATTAAGGTTTTTAAAAGATTAATACAAATAATAAATTATTCTGAAACTCATCAAGATAAAAAGCAGTAACAACCATTCTCAGTAAAAAAAACTGGAAACTTTTGACAACTTCCTCAGTCTCAACAAATATAAAAATAAAAAATATTAAATGAAATACCTAAGATAATTTAAAATAAAGTTTAACACATATTAATAATAAAATACTATTATATAACAATGTTATATTTTTGACAAAATATGAAAAACAAGACAAATGGGCAAAGTCTTATTAAAATAAAATTTACTAAAATGAAGAACAAATAGAAAAGTTTGATATCTAATACATATTAGCCTAAATATGGAATGAAATGCTTCTCACCAAGAAAATATTAGCTATGGTTATCTTTATAGATGATTTCTGCTCTAGAAAAGTAAAAACAATTTAGAAAGTCTAATATTCCAAAAGTTTTTCCATAGACTCTAAAACTACTCCACATCTAGTTTTATTATCAGTGATTTCCTGGAAATAAAACATATAAGGACTTGTCAAGAGAGAGAAATCAGAGATTACATTCACCAGAAATTCTAAGCAAAATATTAGAAAAGCAATTCATCAGTATATATAAAGTAAATAGATCATAACTATATTGGATTTATTATGGGAATGTAGAACATATTTAATACTTGAGAATGAATCGTTTTATTCACAAACTTAAAGGAAAAATGTTATATTCATCTCAATGAATTCAGAAAAATATGTAAATGATCCTATCAACCACAATGATAACTAATATCTAGCAAACTAGAAATTTAAGGAATCCTCTTTGATTTAATATACTCAATGGCAAAATGACAAAAATTTACTCTTAAAACTGAAGTGAAAGACCATGTCTATTATGATCATTTGAAAACAATTTCGGAAAAAAAATAAAGATAGAAGGGATTGAAAAGAAGTAATAAAAATGTTATTCTCAGAAAATATTGAAAGATTTTAAAATAAGTCAAGCACATTATTAGAACTCTTCAGTGAATGTGATGTCTTGGTTGAAAAACTGGAAAACAAGTTTGAGTAAACTGGATAAAGAGTTACAAAAATTTAAATATACACACATCATTATATGCAATAACAAATAAAATAACTATGAATAAGTCTAACAAAACTTTTCAAGACTATTAGACAGAAAATTAGAAAATATTATTGAAAGGTACTAAAAAACAACTAAATCAAAGATGAAAGAAACCTTCAAAATCAGCTTATTTCTGGATTTCTGATCTGATTCAGTAGGTCCAAATTGGGGCTTGAGATTTTGTATTTCTAACAGTTTTCTGGTAAGTATGATTTTGGTTTGAGGTCCATCTTTGAGTGGTCCACTTCCCTGGTGGCTCAGATGGTGCAGAAACTGCCTGCAATGCAGGAGACCCAGGTTCCATCCTTGGGTCAGGAAGATCCCTTGGTGAAGGGAATGGCAACCCACTCCAGTATTCTTGCCTGGAGAATGCCATGGACAGAGGAGCCTGGTGGGCTACAGTCCATGGGGTTGTGAAGAGTCAGACATGACTGAATGAATAGCACTTTCACTTTAACTTTGAGTGACAAGGTAATAGAGTTTTTATTATCATTTGCATTTTATTACTATCTGCATTTGGTGGACAAGTGCCAAGGGTTCTGATCTTTGTACAATGTATGGTGTCAGAATCATTTAATCAAGATTGTTTCCTTCAAAATAGTAATAGTACACCTGCTGAGACACACTTATAGTCTCAAATGAAATATGAAAAAGCTGATATCCAGAAATGTTAAAAGACTTGTA